TATTATTCTTTATAATTTTTAATATTTTATCTAACTATTTATTTATATACCATAGAAAACCATTTTTTTATTTTTGATTTTTTTTACTTTGTTTAAGAAAAAGTGTTATTTTATTTCATCAAGGAAGGATAAAAATATCAATTTATTGATTAAACATACTTGATTCAATTTGTGTATTTTTTTTCAAATGCATGATTTTTCAATTTATTTTTTTATGAAAGTTTTGATTTTATGTGTTTGAGATTTTATAATTTTTACACAAAAATATTTTCTTTCCTAATATTTTCCTTGGCTTTTGAAAAAAAAAAAAAGACTCGGTTCAAGAAATAAAAAAATATTTGAAAAAAAAATCCAACATAAATTAATAAAATATTAACCTTTTTTTTATCATCTTGTGTGCATTAAAATAAATTAATATAAATAAAAAATTGAAAAATAATTTCTAGAAATAAATAAATAAAAATTTGAAAAAAATTAACAATTTTTTTTTCTTTTTTGAAATTGCAATAAATTTTTGCCTAAAATTGAACCAATAGAAAGAGGATACATGTCCCTTCTTTAAAAAAAAAAAATCAAATTTGTTATAGATGTAGGGTTCTCTACTACCGAACCGACGAAACTATAAAGACCCAATTGCCTAAATTGAGACAACGAGACTATTTTTGTCAAAAATCAATACTTCAAAGATCTTTAGAACAATTAAACACTTCTTTAACCCCAAAAATGGGGTGGGACTTGAAGGAGAATGGAAATTAACTTTCATTTATTTCTTTCCTAAACATATTGTTAGAAAAATTCAACTCGAGATATTAAAATCATTTGGTAATGGCGATATTAAATCCTTATCAGAAAGGAAATTAATGACAATTAATTTCTTCTTTAAACCTTGAGATCATGATATTATTACAAAGGGACATAATTCATGAGATTTGCTCATGATAGTTTTTGTTTTGATTCGATTTCACGACAATTATTTTGAACAAATCAAAGATATCTACCTTTTTAATTAGATAGATTTCCTTGAAAGAACCAATTATGTTTATAAATTTCCATTAGCACCTCTGGACCGCAATTTATAGTGACCTTTATTTTACAAAAAATTGTAAGCTAAATTGATGAAACTTTCTTTCAATACAAAGGGTTTTATGAAAAATATTGCCTTCATTCTATTATATTTTGATAATTTCAAGTCTTTATTATCAATTTACGTATTTTGAATTTTAAAATATCTATTTTCAAGCAAATCTTATCAAAATTCTAATTTCTTCATTATTTGTAACGAATCAACCTAGTTGACTATTAATTTTTTTAATATATATATATATTAAAATGCTTTTTTTACATGTTTCAAGAGAGATTATTTTTATTTAAAATTTTCAAATATTAATCTTTTTTTAATTTCTCACAATCAGTCAAATTATTATTTGTATATAATTTTTTTTACTTTTAAAAATAACTTTTATGTAGTAACATTATCCATTAAAACAATCAACTTCTATAATTAATAAAATAAAAATATTTATTGGTTGAATTTGATCAATTGAAACTATCAAATAATTAATTTTAACTGAAACTTTTCTTTTGTCATGCTAATAAATTTATTCTTGTGATTGTCAATCTTTAAATTTTAAATATAGCTATATTTATTTAATATTGTTTTATCTTTACATGTTTTATAGGATTTTGTATAAAATTGAGATTTTAGTTTTTCAAAGATAGGTTCAAAAAGTGAAAGTTCTTTTTCAGAGAGAGAAACAAAAAAATGTTTAGTGATAAATTTAATGATTTTTTTTATTTATAGTTAAACAGGTGAAAAAAAAATCTCTCTTGAAAAATGGAGGAAAATCAATTTTAAGGTTTTTTTTTTAAAAAAAAAACCAATTGTCAATTGGATTAATCGCTACAAATAATGAAAAAATTGAAATTTTGATAATTTTTTTCCAAAAATTGATATTTTGGGATTCAAATTATGTAAATTAATAATAAAGACCCGAAATTGTAAAATTACAATAGAATGGGAGCAATTGTTGTCATTAAACCCAATTTAAAGTCATTTGAGAATTAATTCATGTACATATAAGTTTAATTTTGATCTTTTCACTCTTTGGTATATTTGAAATCAAGTACTTCTATTACATTTATGGGTTCCATCCATATTTTATAGATAAAATAATAAAATAACTTAAATATCCTTAACTTCGATAATCTTCAACCTAATCCTTAACTTCAATAATCTTCAACCTAACTGATTATTTTTAGTTTTTATAAATTAATTTTAAAATTTGAAACTCATATAAATACTCTTTCTTCTTTGAAAAAAAACACTAGTAGCTTTAAAATCTCTCCTTAAAAAAAATTAAAACCATAATCTCTAGATGGAGAATTAAAATTATGATATTAAACTTAATTTTCAACATTTAAAATTAATTCTATATAAAAAAAATTAAAATTGTTTAGTTAGGTTAAAGGTTATTGAAGTTGATGATACTTGAATTAGTTTTTTTAGTTTTATATGCAAAATATGGATGAAATCTTGAAAAAAAAAAAGTAACAAAAGAATTGATTTTAAATATATCCGAACATAAGAATTAATTAATTGTCAAATAACTTTAAGTTCAAAGGAAGTTTGACTAGTTTGACGAAGAAGCAATAAATCTTTTTCTCTCCTTGGTAAACTACCATTACCAAACACAATCTCTTTCGCATATCCACAAAAAAAATATACTTTCTATGTCCCAAAGAAAATTTTCTTCTTCTTTTTTATATCCATTTCAAAATATTTATCTGTTTAAAGTCTTAAACAATAAATTTTTCTAAAATGCTCATAATTGATAAAGAAAACCAATTCTTTTTTTGATTTCTTAATCTTCACTAACAAAAAATTAATATTCTTTATATTTTCTATTATACATATAAATACTTTTAACATACTTTTTTTAAAAAAATCATTACATGAAAAATATTCATTCTTGTACAAACTTTAGTACATGTTGAAATTTTGGAAATAAAATATTTTCATTAGTATGTTATTTTTTTATAATTGTTTTAAATTAGATTGTTAATTAACTTAATAATTTTTTATTTGATATATCGTCTTAATTTTAGATAGATTTTCTCCTTAAATTAATATTAATTCTATATAATGTAGATTTAAATTTAATAACTAATAATTTTAAAAAATATATTTTAATAAAGTATAAATAATTAATCATTTTTAAAAATTGTATGAAAAATCAAACGAAATGATTTCTTTTGAACATAAGAGTATTTCACTGCTTGAGCATCAATACCATAATATTGAAGGCACTAATCCAGACCTTCCATACTGTTTAGGTACAAAAATCCTGTACAGTTTGATGATTTATTACATGATTTTATAATCAAAACATCAATTAGGATCGTGCTTTTTTTAAAAAAAAAAAAAAATCTACGATAAACCTTCACAAAATCGAAAACGGATAAAGTTTCCACGTTCATTTTTCTTACCATAAACGCCTATATTAATTACTACCAAAATATTTGCCTTTTATTACCATCATTAAATTTCTCTCTCGAAAAGAGAAAACGTACAAGGTGTCTTCTGAGATATGTTCATGAAAAATATGTGGCGACACGTTGGCGTGAACGCAAAATATATGCCCTATCGACCCACCAGGGCCACCACATTCCAGGTAACTCTGATCTAATCTGAGCCGTCTGATTTTCCATAAATAACCCTCATTTTCTGATTCCATGTAATCAACTCTGTTTTTAATTTTATATTTATCAGATAACGATTGGCCCCTTACACGTGTTATGAATATGCCAGGTCAGTAATTTGATGTTTAATTTCAAGTCAACATCAGTCGCCTACCTTTTAACAGTTTTCAACCTTTGATTCGTAAATTTTCATCCGATCAGACGGTGCTTGCCGGTGCTAGTCCAACCGAAATTAGCCAACCACGTGTACGGTGATTAAGCTCGGTCCTGTGATTTTTCTCCTCGTGAATTGGTCCCATATATTCAATTTCTCGAAGCGGATATATTGCTGGAGTTAGTCAAGCAGACAAGTCCTCCATGATAAAACAATATTTCAAAACACCCCTAAACTATATTGTTCTGTGTTAAACAGCACAATCAAGTCCTTAAAACTATATTTTGCTAGTCACCAGAAAAAAAATATTACAGTTTATTAAAGAGAAAAAAAGTATTTATAATAGAAATTTTAAAAAGGCATATAACTATAAAAAAAAATCAAAAATCCCAATCAAATCATAGGTTATTTATATAATTTTTTAATTATTAAAAAATAATATAAATCATATCTCGAGCCTTTGCCTAGTAGCTTTTTAAATGATTTTGAACTTGAATATCATCATTTTTATTTTTTCTTTTAATTAAAATTAAATAATTAAGTTTAAAGTAACAGTGAACTTGTATGAGTTTCAAATACAAAGAATTTTCACTTGAAAAACTATGTTAAAAAATAATATAAATTAAATTATATCTTAAAACTTCATTAAATTATACTTTAAACTTTTAAATTGAGGTGATTTTTTGACATAATCTTTTAATATTTGAAAAATGACCTGAAATTCTAATTAACTAGACATCCTTGTAAAAGAATTAAAAACTATATTATCAAAAACTTATACAATAAGAATTTGCAACAAAGAAACTAAACGAAAAATTTGTGGCTAAAAAACTAACTAAAATTTCTGTGATAGTTGGAGGACTAACTTATACTTAAGCCCAAAAAATGAAAAACTTTCCGTTTAGAATAAACGAATATTCCTTAATTAGCGGTAGTGATTAAATTATCGTTTCCTAAGAAAACACCAGGACATTTTCAATTTCTCCCCACCTCCTTCATCTTTGGACAGCTATATAAAGGCCCCAGCATCGTCGACTACTCCAAACCCTTACGAAAGCCACAAGCTTCCAATTTTATTGGTCTCGTAAATCAAAATCTCTCTCTGTGCGATTCATTTTCTTTGAAGGTTTTCATTTTTATTACAACAATGTCGCTAAAGAAATCCTTAGCAGAGCGTCTCTTCAAATTCTCCAAAATTCCCAATCAATACTTGAGCAATTGCCGCATTTCGTCTTCGCTCCAAACCCGAATCCACCAACATCCGGGTCAATCCAACATCAGACCCGACCGCCCTGGAGAATCCGGAATTTTCCGACGATTATTCCACAAACCGGCCATTTTCTCGCCTGAGCTACGGCAACTGCCGATCGGGGAGGGCTTGATTGATAGAATCCGGGGGTTTGACATTGTCAAGGATAGGATACGGTTGGATGGGTTGAGCCCGCCTCCGATGGTGAATGAGGAGGTGGCGGCTGAGGAGGGGTTGACTGCGGTGGATGCGAGGAAGTTGTTGAAGGTAGCTCAGTTGGAGGGGTGAAATTGAGGTTGAGGGAGATGGAGAAAACGTGGATTAGTTATTCGGAGTTTGTTCGGGTATGCAGTGAGGGTTGTTCGAATCTTGAGTATGGTATTCGGGTTGCGAAGAGTCTCGATGAATCTGGGACTGTTGTTGTCCTTGGAAATCTCGTTTTGCTAAGACCAGAGCAGGTAATTTTTTTTTCAACTTTTTGATGTTTGATTAGCAGTTTAATTAATTTATCGTGTTGTTTTTTTGGTTAATTAATTTGTTTTACAGATTAGAATAATGGTGATGGTCCTGTGATGGTTAAATTGAGTACAATTTAACCGATGGGAAACAGATAAATACAAGTTTTTTTTTTTTTTTTTGGTTTTTTCTTTCATTTCTGGAAAACTGAAAACTGATATTTTTTTACGTATATTTTTTTGTGTTTTTCTTTCGGCAGGAGAAAGAAACTTTTGTTGTTTCACGCCAGATCTAAAGGCCATTCAGTTTCCACAGTGACCAGATTTGTTTCACACTTATGGTGCATTTAGATTCTCACCAAAAAAAAGGGGAAAGATATCAAATTTAAATAAATAAATCAGATAGAGAGAAATTGGGAGTGAAGAAAAACAAGGAAAGTGATGGGCATTTACTTGGTTCATGATGGAGGAAGCTTATGTTTATTAGGGTTGGCTTGAGTTTAATTTGGATGTCTAGATCTCATGGTTGTGGTGGTGGTTGTGGTGGCGGTGGAATTAGGGTTTTTATACTTAATGATCAGTGCAGGAAGGTGTTATTTTTCATAATAATACGGGACATATAGCTTAGAATTACTGATATGATTTAAGGGAACACGCTAACATGATTGTACTAGAAAAATATGCAGCAAAGCGAGGAGAAAAAAACTCAGTTCTTTGTGTGTGATATATATATATATATTTGTTTTGTATTATTATTATTATTATTATTTTGTTTTATTAGGTAATGGAAGAGTGTAGGGTTAGCTTGATCTGGAAAACAGGTCAGCTGCAAGGCTGTAGGCCACCATGGCTAGATGGTGTAAATTAGGAGCAATAACCAAGCATTTTTTTTTTTTTAACTAATTATTTCACTTTTTCGATTGAAATTTTTAAAATCTTTTGTTTGTTGGTTTTCTTGGATCAGTCCAGCTGGTAAGATTGAAAAGCTGTCTTGGTTTTCTTTTGTGGGAGATTGATTCACTTTCATTACTATTTTTTGACAAGCAATTTACTTTCGTTGGTTGCTTAATCTACTAACAGAAGTAATAGGCTAATAAGACATGTAGAGTTATCTTTTACCCAACAATTTTTTTTTCCATTTCTGTTAATTACAGGTATTGAAAGCAATCGGAGGCCTAATTCCATTACCAGCAAGCAACCCCAATGATCCAAGAAGAGAGGAGCTGCAAGAAATGGAGAAACAGAAAGCTGCAATTGATCAGAAGGCGAGGACCCTGGTTCGCCGCGAACTGTGGACTGGACTTGGTTTCTTGATCATTCAGACAGCAGGGTTCATGAGGCTGACATTCTGGGAACTTACATGGGATGTCATGGAGCCAATTTGCTTCTATTTGACGTCAATTTATTTCTTGGCTGGCTATACCTTCTTCCTCAGGACAGCGAAGGAGCCTTCTTTTGAAGGGTTCTATCAAAGCAGGTTTTTGGCCAAGCAGAAGCAGCTCATGAAAGTCAGAAACTTTGATGTGGAGAGGTACAATGAGCTTCGAAAAGTTTTTTACCCTCATCCATCATCTGTAGAGAAGATCCAAGCAATGACTTCGTTTGATCAAGCTGCAAAAATATTCTGAACCGATGATACCAAAAGAGAAATTAACATCCTACTATCTTTAGAGAAAATATACAATTTTGTTGAAGAATCCCCTCTTGGGCTGTGTATTTTTAGAATGTAGGTGCGGCTCACTCTGATACCAATGTATGAGAGTTGTTTTCCTGTCGTTTACTCTTTGTTTCCAAATGAAAATATATCTAACATTGATACTTCACCTGGTTATGACTTTGATTTGGTCCATTCTAGGTTTTTTTAGAATGCGAGTCATATTGCATCAGTCTACCTTTTAGTCCTTTTTGTTCCTCTTTATCCTTTTTTTCCCCCTTCTATTTCAACTAGCACAGAGTAAATTATAAATAAATATAAATCTGTTTGTAACTTAATTTTTTTTTCATTTTAATTTTATTTTTTTAAGAAATAAAAAAAAGTAGATACAGAAAAAATATTTTTTTAAATAAAATAATATTAAATTAACTATAGTCAATACTAATTAACGAATTAATTAATTAATTTTTAAAACAAAAGAGATTATTATTTATTTATAATTAATCATATTATCAAAATCAATCATTCTATATATCTTGAAAAAGATGCTAATAATAAAGTTGAAAAGAAATCATGACTTTTAAGAAAAAAATATATACGCATAAAACTATGCTTTTGCCATAATTTTGATTTCGTCAAAAGGCAAAATTGACCGTAAAATTAAGATAAAAAAAGATTTATGATTCCATCATCTACCGCTACACTAAAAGTTCTTTGAGGGAATCTCATTAGCCTTATTTTCCTAAGCAAGTTAAAAATGGCATGAAGCAATGATATTATGCTTGTGGGTTCAAAACAAGCTATAAAAGAAGATGAACACCTATGTTGACAAACTAGAGATTGAAAATTATTCCGATTATTGCATCAAAATGTCATCCATTACGTAAAAAGCTGTCAAAGAATTTTTAGTGTAGCGGTAGTTATTTTTTACAGCAAGAAATCATCAATTCAAATCTTTGACATATTAGTTTTGTTAGAAATCTCAAAAGTATGAATTAAAAAAATAAATATATAATAAAAAATGTACGTAAAAAGGTGAACCCACCTCATTTTTTTGGACATATAGCATGCAAATGGCAACATCGTAATCAAAACGTTTGTAAAAATTGCAGCTTGGCGGTCCCTTGGTCATGGACGTAATCTTATTGGAGATTGGAAAGGCCATTTGAAGAAAGGGAGATAGAATTTGTTGGATAGCAAAGTAGTGAATTCATGGAATCCCATACGCCAGCTAAAGCCGTATTCATAAAACTACTCAAATTCAACTCCTTTACTATAGATATATTATAAAATCTCAAATTCAAATCCAATTCCCTTTCAAGCTCTATATTTTACTAATAACCCAAATGCAATTTGTTTGATTTAACTGGCTCTGCTAATGCTTAAATACTTTAGTAATAAACATTAAACAACATATAATCTTTTAAGCACAGTCCGAACCCTTTTTTTTTTTTTTTGTAATCTAGAGTGTTCGGGTCGGTTTGTGCTGACCGTGACTAATTCCCGAAGCCCATCGAACACTCCGTAATCCTAGGAGCATGTAAGGCATCACGGAGGTGACAGGCATGTATAGAAAGAGTCGAACCCGGATGATCCTCGGAGGGTAAATTCTTATTTCGCTAGGCTACAACCTCAAGCGTACCGAACCTATTAATTGATTGTTCTCGTGCCGTTCGTATCCTCATTTTCAAACCAAGTTGTATGTTAATCAAAATCAACTTAAATTGTCTTTTGTAATTGGTGTTGCTGGCAGTCATCTCTTGTCTCATATAATTAACCAATAAACCAAGGCTGTGTTTACTACTGTTATTCAGTTTGGAAAGAGTACAAGCCAATTTCGATTCTGATAGGGTGTAGCCAGGGAAGGTTTATTTGGACAGGCCTTCTTATCTCCACCTTTTACCGTCTTTGCCTTCACTAGATTTCATCATTGCGTTGGAATTTTGGGTTCCAAAAATAGCCAAAAAAAAAGCAGCACGATTCGGTCCACAATTTGGATTCACATGGTCCAAGTTCAACGTGTATATGGCTAGACTTGAAAGGAAGCCTCTAGGAACTTGGAGTAGCTCTCTACTTACATGTGTACTAGTAATTCCTTATGCCTGGACGGCAGGAAACACTGTTGTTGTTTCATTTTTATTCTAATATACCATAACATAATCCTCCCAGAATCTCTGAAGCAATCCATAAGGATGCCCGCCACCGACCCTTTATCCAAATTTCTAGGAGATGAGGAATCTTGAAGGATACCACCAACAAGAAGAAATTAAAACAACAATGAAGATGTCTTCTTCTTTTTTTTTTCTTTTTTTTTTTTTTTAAAAAAGGGCTTTAGTCTTGTTTGTTTGTGCACAAATAAGGTCCATTATCAGATATCGCTTCAACATCCGAATCTCTCTTAATTAATTTGAGAACTCTAGCTTTTCTTTTCTTTTTTTTTAATTTAAAAGAGGTTTTTACATGTATCGAGACCTTGTACAATTTGAATGTTTTTTATTGAGATCTTAATGCTTATCTATCTAATTTAATAGTTATATTTTTATGTTATTATTGTGTCTAAACCTAATGTGTCATGTATGTACACGTTGCAACTTGTCGATTGCAAGCCTATCAATGATGCGATTGTCATGTGTCATGATGCTCAAATTGAGTAATTAAATTAGTGACGTAATAAGTTATTATTAGTCGAGCATACACATGGTAAGCTGTTATTGTTTATGAATCCGAAACAACATAAGAGTAGAATTTATAAATTAGACAGAAAAAAATTTAGGATTTCAATAAAATAAATCTAAATTGTATAAAATCTCGATATGCATAGAAACCAATTTAAAAGCATGACCTTTTCTATAGTAATAATAATAACACAAAGATACCTCTAGATCATAAGGTCAGGTAAGGTTTTGTAGTGATGTACAAAAGAAGACTGCCAATTAATTTCAGTCTTTTTCACTCTATAATTAGCACCAGAAAAGGGTGGGTCCTTTCAGATTGAACAATTTGACTTTCCTTGCGTTCAATTGGGTAATCTCAAGCAAATTTTTTGCATACCTTGGCCTACTGTCATGCCAAAAACATGAGTAAGCAATTTTGAAGTTGGAATCTTATGTTGAATTTTTTGGTAACTATGACATACATTTCACACCTTCAATTTGAAATACGGAGGAGCTCAATTTGAAATTTGCTACAAACTATGGCATGCGATTCATATTTTTTTAATTTTTAAAGAAGCAAACGAAAAAATTTATGTGTCAAACTATTCTTTTAGGTTTTGTTTGGTTATCGTGAGTGAGAAGTTCGAAATAAAAATACAAAAATCAAAATAAAAAATTAAAGAATTGAAATAACATTGTATTCTCATATTGTGTTTACAATAGAAATAAAAAATTAGAATAAAATTTAAAATTTTAATATTGGATTTTAAAAATGAATAAGAATAATGATTAAAAAAATTAAATTTATCAACTATAATGATAGTAAAAATGATAAAGATTATTGTGGTGATGGTGGTGGTAGAAGAAGAGGATGAAGAAGTGGTGATGGTAGCAGTAATAATATAATAATAGCAATAATGCTCCTCTGGAATAGTTAGTGCTTGACTGAATTCAGAAAGAGAGGGAAATAAAAAAACAGACGTTAGGGTTTGTGAAGAAGAAAACTAGCTAGAAACAGAGGAGAAGAATGTTATTGTAGAAGATAGCCCTGTGTTTGTTTGCATAAATATACATATACTTACACATTGCTTAAGACATTCGACCATGTTGTCCATATTGAAGAAGAATTCTATTCTTATAAGGTAAACTATATTTTCACCCCAGTAGATTCAGTAAAGTTCTACTTTGGGCCTTATAGTTTAAATTTTCTAAATATCAAGTTTGGTGTTTTGAAAAATTTTCAATATAACTTTTGGACATTAATTGTCGAATGGAACTTAATGACTTCTATCATTTTTCTCTCTCTTTTTCTTATTTTTCTCTTATACATACGATAACATCCAATTACAATTAATAATTTAAAAAGAAACTAAGAGAAAAAAAATAGAATTCAATATTTAATGAACAACAAGAAATTTAGTCTTGATAAAGATACTTTTACTATTAAATCTAAAAAAAACAAAACAACTATTCTCAATCCACAATAAAAGGTTAATGAATTTTTTTTTTTTTTTTTTAGTATCCATGAAGATATTGTCGTCGTTCATTAAATATCTAAAACTTGATTTTTTCAAAAATTTTTAATATGACTTTTGGACGTTAATTGTCAAATGGAACTTAATGACTTCTATCATTTTTCTCTCTCTTTTTCTTATTTTTCTCTTATACATATGATAACATCCAATTACAATTAATAATTTAAAAAGAAACTAAGAGAAAAAAATATATAATTCAAATGTGAGTCAATATTTAATGAACAACAAGAAATTTAGTCTTGATAAAGATACTTTTACTATTAAATCTAAAAAAAACAAAACAACTATTCTCAATCCACAATAAAAGGTTAATGAATTTTTTTTTTTTTTTTAGTATCCTTGAAGATATTGTTGTTGTTCATTAAATATCTAAAACTTGATTTTTTCAAAAATTTTCAATATGACTTTTGGACGTTAATTGTTGAATGGAACTTAATGACTTCTATCGTTTTTCTCTCCTTTTTTCTTATTTTTCTCTTATACATATGATAACATCTAATTACAATTAATAATTTAAAAAGAAACTAAAAGAAAAAAATAATAATTCAAATGTGAGTCAACATTTAATGAACAACAAGAAATTTAGTCTTGATAAAGATACTTTTACTATTAAATCTAAAAAAAAACAAAACAACTATTCTCAATCCACAATAAAAGGTTAATGATTTTTTTTTTTTTTTAGTATCCTTGAAGATATTGTCGTTGTTCATTAAATATCTAAAACTTGATTTTTTCAAAAATTTTCAATATGACTTTTGGACGTTAATTGTTGAATGGAACTTAAT